GTAAATATTGTTAACTCTTTTTCCCTGTAAAACAATCTTGTTAGTGGTAATGTTAATCACAAAGCATTTAGTAGAGGTGAATGTTACAAGGCTACCTCTTTCACATAGTTATGACACACTGATCAGGCTGTATTTCAAGCCATCTATCAAGTAGACATTCTCAATGGAGTGAGAGTCTGTCTTACCTACCTTTCCAACCCCAATGATCTCGCCTTTCTTCCCATTTCCAAAGGAGACATTGCCTCCCCTTAAGTCCTCAAGTGAAAGGAAACGGTTCTTGCTTCCAGTCATATGTTTTGAGCAGCCACTATTCATATACCATATTTGGCTACTTCCCTTCACTTGGACCTCTTGTTCATCATCTGATTCTCCAATGGCCATAAGTGCTTGTTCATCTACAGCTTCATCTTCTGAGTCCTCATCTGATGTTTCTCCCTAGGCAGCAACCATAGCCTTTATTGATCCTTTCTTCCTTTTTGGTTGAACCTGTTCCTTCGTTCAGCCCTTTCCTTCTTCCACTCGATTTCCCATTGAGGGAAATTCTTGATCATGTGATCAGTCTTACCACACTTGTAGCAACCCTCATTGGTTTGTTTCTCAGGAGCCCTTGGTTTGTTAAAGGTTGTACCTCTTGAAGAACCCTTTCCTCTCATCAGGTACTTTTTGAAATCTCTTGTGATCATAGCCATTTCATCATCTTCCAGATCTGAGCCTTTAGCAATTCTGAGATCCAGACTTCTTTACTTCTTTGGTGTATCCATTTTCATGGTTTGCCTTCTCAGTTCATAAGCAGTAAAGTTTCCAATTAGTTCATCCAGCTTGAGGGTAGCAATGTTCTTTGATTCCTGAATAGCAATGATTTTGCTTTCCTAAGAGACTGGCAGAACCCTTGTCAAAATCTTCTCAATTTTGTCTTCTTCAAGAATAATCCTTCCAAGAGACTTAAGTTCATTTATCAGTGTGGTGAACCTTATATACACCTCTTGGATGGTTTCTCCTTCTTTCATGGTGAAATTCTCACACTGAGAATACCGCAGTGTTCCTCTGGACCTCTTCACTTGAGGTGTTCTTTCATGAGCCACTTCCAAAGTGTCCCAGATATCCTTAGTAGTGGTACAACTTTGAATTCTACTGTACTCATCTGGACCTAGTCCACACACAAGCCATTTCTTGGTCTTGGCATTCTTCTCCAACTTCTTCAGGTCTTCAGCAGTGCAGTCAGCTCTTGTCTTTGGCACATCCACTCCTTCAGCATTCTTTTTAGTAGTTGCTAGAGGACCATCAATGACTATGTCCCAGAGTTCATAGTCTTCTCCTATGATGTGATCCCTCATCCTGATCTTCCACCAAGAATAGTACTTACCATTAAAAAGTGAAGGCCTAGTAGTGGATTGCCCTTCCCAGTTCCCAGGTGGTGCACTCATGTTGATCTTTTCCTAAGGTGTTAGCCTATTCAAGGATAACCCGCTCTGATACAAATTCATATTCTAAATGTCAATACTACACAAGAAGGGGGTGATTTATGTGGTACCTAATTTTCGCTCGAGAAGAACCTAGTTCTTCTAGGTGTTCTAACTATTACTGTTTGCGGAATAAAAAGTATATAAATAAAGAACACAGAGATTTTTACGTGAAAAACACCTGGCTCAAAAGGTGAAAAAACCATGACCTACTACTCAGTAGGATTTTCCCAAAGTTCCACTAAAATCACTGAGCCAAAACAGCATTTACAAAAACTCTTTGTAAACCTAAAGATTAACTCTAACCCCTTGTAGCACACAGCCTCAACTGTTGCGACAACTTTAAGTTAGCTTATAACTTGAACACTCAAAGTACCTAATACAGTTGCTTGTATGAAAGCTGAAAGGTACAACTTTAAACCACCTACTACAATTGAACTAGAATAAGAAAAAAAATACAATAGAACTGGTTCTTCTATCTCGTTTAAGTAGCTTCAGGAGTGCACACTCAAATCTCACATAAATTGCTTGCAAAATCACCTTACTCTTTTGCTTTCAATTTAGTTTAACTTCTGCGTTTGTGCAATACCTGTAAAAGAGAACAATCACTGTCATTTAATATGTTAGAAACCAAAGTTTGATTGGGACTCAATTTCTGATCTTCTATCGTAGTTGAGTCCTTGATATCAAACTCTAACACTCTCTTTATCCGGATTGTGTTCTCTTCATATAAGGAGACTTTCTCCCCTTATCCAATATGCAAGCTTTTCGATCAGATTAGGAGATACTGTTGCTTATCAGTATGACTTATCTATTTCACGTGCATCTCACATGTGTAGGTTGATCATGGCAGTGCTTCACAAGATGGACCTAGTCCATGACTGAGTTCATTGGTCATTCTTCAAAACTTTACCTGTTTTTGGGCCAACAATGCACGACCCCACGCTCGTCATCTAGCGTGTGCATCGCCTAAATATAGCACAACGATGTGCAATCCGGGGTTTCATACCCTCAAGACAACATCTAAAATTATTACTCACCTCAATCCGGTCTAAACTCTAGCCCACGACGCCTTTGCCCCTCGTATCGGCCTCAACTCGCGTCAAATCTATCCAAAATCAGAATCACGACGTCAAAATATGCTAAGGGGACGAAGCCCATTCGAATATAATACAACATAAATCCCGAAATCACCAAAATCCGACACCCGAGCCCACGTCTCGGAATTTGATAAAATTCACATCAATAGATTCCTTATCTCCCCACGAGTTCATACATATCAAAAGTCCCAAAATTCGACCACAAATGGTCCCTCAAATTCTCAAGTCTAGGTCTCCAATACCAAGCCCTAGTTTTCCCAAATTTTAACCCTTAAATTCCATTAATTACAGCTCTAATCCGTGAAATAATACCATAGGAATGAGTTTTAGGTCCAAAATCCTTACCTCAATGAAAACCCCTTGAAATCCTTTTTCAAATCGCCCAAAAAACTCCGAAAGCCGACTTAGAAATGGTGGAAGAGCTCAAAATTGTGAAGGAAATAATTTATATGTTCTGCCCCAGCTAAACCATTTCTGCGGTCCCAAACGCGCACCTGCGAACCCGCACTTGCGGTCCCAGGTGCGCTTCTGCGCAAATCACTTAAACGTCTATTTTTCGCTTCTGCGATACCTGGCGTAGGTGCGGCTCCTTAGCCGCTTCTGCGACTCCAGCCTTCCTAGGCACTTTCTTCTTCTGTGGCCCCTTTCTTTACCTCTGCGGCATCGCACCTGCGGTCCCTAATCCGCAAGTGCGGAAACAACAGAACCAGAAAATCTTCAGCTTCACCAAAAACTCCAAACCCTCCGTCAACCATCCGAAATCACCCAGATGCCCCTGGGACCTCAACCAAAAGCACAAACATATCCCATAACCTTATTCATGCTCATTCCAACTTTCGGAACGCTCAAAACAACATTAAAACACCAAAATCACATCAAATTCAAGCCTAAGATTCCAAAATCTTTCGAATTCCGCTTTTGATCAAAACCCCAACCAAACCACGCCCGAATGACCTGAAATTTTGCACACATCCCAAATGACACAACGGAGCTGCTGCAACTCTCGAAATTCCATTCTGACCCCTATATCAAAATCTCGCCTATCAACCGGAAAACGCCAAAATACCAATTTCGCTAATTTAAGCCTAAATCTACTCCGGGCCTCCAAAACACATTTCGATCACGCTCCTAAGTCTCAAATCACCTCCCGAATCTATCTGAACCCTCGAAACTCACATCCGAGCCCTCTAACATATGAGTCAACATCCGGTTGACTTTTCCAACTTAAGCTTCCTCAAAAGAGACTAAGTGTCTCAAACCTTCTCAAAACCTTTCCGAACCCGAGCCAACCAACCCGATCACATATAGAACCGATACACAAAGCAATAAAAAGCAGAAATGGGAAAAATGGAGCAGTAACTCATGAGACGACTGCCCGGGTCGTCACACTTATTTCTTGTATTTGTGATTAACTTCTTCACTGGTCCAATAACACCAGACAAATATTAAGATGAAAAGTTACCAAGAGGTTTGCATTGAGGCAAAGCCTACAAGTTTAGATAAATATCGCTTAGTTGCTTCTCCGTTCTAATTAATTCGTAGAGACTGAAAAATACTGTTCTTCGCAGTTTCCACCTGCTCTGTTATGATTCTCAGTAGTTGTTACGGCCAAAATATGGTCTCGCTAATCTTATCGTGTGCGAGGTGGCATACTATCTATAATTTTCATTAATTTTTAATTCTTTCGATAGTTCTTGCGACCATGCGCTGGTTATTCTAAAATGTGAATCTATAATTATATTTTTATGTGATGTTACATCATTAATTTGGGATCCAAATTCGGGATTTTCCTTCGCTTGGTATTGGAAAGTATTTGGAATTAAGCATTCATCCATACTCTCGGTAAAATTTGAAATGACAGGATTTGGACGAGTTAAAGGTGGAGAGGTGGGAAGGGCCATGGACGTGGCAATGTCGGAGGCAAAAAAGTTAAAAAATTAAAAGGCACTACTTCCGGGAGTTGAACCAACAACCTTATAAAGATTTTGAAATCCCTCAACCACTAAATTATGTTTTTGGGTGTGACATGCGAATTCAAAAATATATTAAATGAAAGTTTCCAGCCCTGTTGGAGGAATACATGACAATTCTGCAACCTAGGGCTTGAGCACACATCTCAGCCACATTCACAAGCATCTCTAAAGACAGGACAATCAAGAAACCCTCGTGAAGGACCTTTAGAAAATTCGCATCTCACTCCGGAGATTGAAAATAGTGGTGCAGGTTAGTTCTCTGTTTCTAGAAAATTTTCAGGTTTAGTTTCAGCTCTTATTTGAGCTAGTTTCATATGCATTTTCACTAAAGTATAGCTAACAACTAAATTTGTACAAGACACAATTTGACTGGCTATTAATCAATACTGCAGTAGGAACCGTCAGTAAATCTTAGTCCCCATAAAACTACTATATAAACACAAAAAAAAAAAATTGCTGGAAAAGAATGAGAATAACACACTAATAAACATATCGTCTTTTTACAGGTAAAGCTCACACTTGCAAAATTCAAAATATCTTACATATATTCACCATTAGAAATACATCCATAGAAGGAGAGTGCATATATAATATATATCTTCAAACACAACATTCTTTATTTCACACGTAGCTAGCTAGAACTAGCCAATATTTCCAAATACTCATCACACACACATATATATGTGTATTAACATACATATATATGGCTATGAGCCATTGAATAGCATAGATTAGATTACTTGAGAAGGTGACCCTCTATATCTTTGGTCACATGTAGGACAAAACCCAAGAGAACGAGAGGCTCTGGGGTGTCTTCAGTTTTCTTCTCGTACACGAATGTCCATGTAGTCCATTGGTGGTCATGGGATGAGGTAATAATGAAGGAATTGTACAACTCTAATAGATCTCCTCCAATTACTTTCCAAGTGATTGATTTCTTCTCATGATCTACGGCTTCAATCACTTGCTTACAGATCTTATCTTTTCCATCTATAATCAATAAAGTTCAAAAATACAAGAGATGTTACTCCATGTTCAACTGTCCAATTCCTCATATAAAATATATAAACATTCAGAATAACATGTTTTCTTCTCATTTCTTTTGTTTTTCATTTTCATTTTCTCCAAAAATTATTTTAAGCTTGCGAAGATTGGACGTGCTATAAATTTTCTTGAATAGAATTATCGTTAAAAATCTCAAAAGAACATTTGGCATTGTCGAAAATATTGAATTATTAAGGGAAAAAGCTTAAATTTGATTATATTGTGTTTGGTATGTCAAAAGGAATTTTCGTTGAGAAATATTTCTTTAAAAAATATGATCAAAATATTTTTCAGTACTTGGTAATTGTTGACTGAATATATTATATTGAATGCTAGTAATACTATTAGCAAAGAGTGTTAAGAAGTTTTTGAGTACTATTAATAATATGTCTAATAGGTTCAAGTATTAATTGGGGTTAGCAATATGAAGTTAAAATTAAGATAGTTAAAAAAAAAGACTTTTGTTTCCCCTTTTGATGTAAATTTTTTTACAGTAACCAAAAACATCATCAAATAATTTTTTTCACGAAATTTTTTTTTTTTGAAGAAAGACCTTTTTTACATAACCCAATGTGGTAACTCATACAAGTAAATCATATATATGTATAGAGAGAAGAAATATGAATTACGTACCGTCATTATATTTCCAGTTAACAATCGAACCAACTTTTACGGTTTCACCTTCATGAATATCAAATTTTTGGATCTTACCGGGACTTATGTTGCATATATGATGAGTATTGGTGTGAAAAATGTCATGAATCGGGTGTCCTCCACACTTCACCTCTACTGAGGCAATCAACTTGCCTTTCACACCCATATTTTCTTCTTCAATATAGTAGAAAGTAAGTATTGAAAAGGAAGTGGTGAGAAAGTGCTGAGAGGCTGTAGTCTTTATATAGATTATATTCTAGTTTTTTTATTATTATTAAATAATATATTATGTTCTAGTTAGCTGCATGAAAAGCTAGTATAAAACGTGATCCACGAAACTCATGATTTTCATTATTGGAGATGGAAGATTAGTGTTAGCTCATTACGTGTATAAGGTCTTGCTAAGTTACTGTTGTCCTTTACCATGAAATTTTAATCATCTTCTACTTTTAATTTTTAATTCAAACCACCTTAAAACTCCACCAAATCATCCCAAAACTGAAATTCAAGCTTCTTAAAATGTACTTAATCTATTCTAATAATACACACTCAAATAAAAGCAAAACTTTAACCTTTTTTGGGTTACAAATAGCTAATTGACTAATATTAATAATATTTTATGAATTCACCAATTTTTATAATTATATACTTATAAATGGATATAACCGGTAGTTTTCCTTCATTTTACTGTAAAGTTTGAGACTTTCATAAGAGATCAAGTCTCACAATGTATGAATTAGTTTTACTATTATTGTTATTTAAAAGTTGTTATTTCTCTCTATATTTTTTTGTTCTTTTAGTTTAACTTCATAACAATATTATATATATTCAAGGTAGTAAAAGAGATGGAGATCTGAATTATATGGAACACGTTGCATTATTCATGAGATAAGTCAAGCAGTCTAAATTTAACGTTATTAAAGACGAGGAGTTAAGAGGGAGGTACAACTTTAAAACCAATCTACCTAATACCTTACTCAACGCAGNTATATATATATATATATATATATATATATATATATGGATTTAAGGTGGAGAAATAGATAGATACGTGATTTATAAGGGAAAAGAATGCACTGTCCATGAAACATATATATATATATATATATATATATATATATATATGGATTTAAGGTGGAGAAATAGATAGATACGTGATTTATAAGGGAAAAGAATGCACTGTCCATGAAACATTTTGTTCATGTTTAATGGTAGTAATTGGTGAGGAACAAATGTTATATAGATGAAACAATCTTACCCAAAGCAAAAATAAAGCACTGGTTAAAAATACATTGATTACTTAATGATTAGATTAAGATGAAAGAAAAAAACAGTTTTAGATATTGATTGCTCAACTATTATTATCTAAAGAAAAGATAGAAACAGTCATATATTTTCAAGGTGGCAGACAAGATAGAGACGTGAGTTATTTAGAAAACAACTACTAGCAATCTATTAGCAAGATTTTTCATGTTCTTAAAGGGAAGCAGTAAATTGGAAGGTATTTCTTTTCTTTTCTTTTTTTCTTTCTTTTTCCTAATTTATGTGACAGGGTGTGGAGTAGGATAGTCAAAACACTTGATTTTCGATGTGAATTTACTATTAATTCCTCATTTTTTTAAATTTTTTTTATATATATTTATAAATTACACGAACAGTACTACATAGCTAATGATTCAAAATGTTTTTTTAAAAAAAAATAAGAAAATTATAACTAAAGAAAAAATAGTATAACTCCACAAAAAATAATACCTTCCATAAAATGCAATGGAGGGCGTAATAAGATTGCGATATCGTATTGTAGGAACAAATTAACTTTTGATTTAGATGGTTAAGGTGGAAATGTCGTGAGCAGACAAAGAAAATCTCATGGACAACGAGATGCAAAAAGCAAATCTTTTGTTATTGTTCATTTAAATTTCTTGGCCAACTTCTAATATCTTAAGGTGTCGTGTATATATATATATATATATTAGTTTGTTTATATTTTATTTTCCTTAAATATCGATCCGAATGCCTACCGTGAGACCGAGAGGATTAAATGTCAAATACCCTAAAATCGACCCGTTCATGATGACGTCTGTCGTGAAACTAGGCCAGCCGATACAACTCCCGAATTAACCATTTATCAATAAAAATCATTTTTAAGCCTTTAATTAATCAACTATCTCAAAGTGTAAGTCTAAATGAACAATGCAGAATAAGTACACAAGCCCGACATCAGGGTCTCACAAGCCACGAGTATCTACTAAGGTCTGAAAATATACAAGAAAACGATCTAAGGGATACAAGAGGGAGATGAGCAGGGGCTGCGAACGTCGGGCAGCTATCTTGGTAACTCCAATGACGCTGCCACTGAGTAATCAACACCCGCTACCGGGTTCAGAAATACCTGAATCTGCACACAAGGTGCAGGAAGTAATGTGAGTACACCAACTCAGTAAGTAATAAAAGTAAATGAAAGTTGAGCAGTAAGAAAATACGTAAACCACGTCAGAACGCTACAACAAATGCAGGTCATTTTCAACACAGAACAAAAATCATTTACTTTGTAGAAATCATGCTCAGTTTCGGTAAAAAAAAGCCTTTTAAAACAACTTTCAATAGTTTCATACGAGTGATAAAACAGTGAGTAAAAATGGTAGAAACGTGAACAACCCCTCGAGCAAAAACATGCACCATAAACCGCCCATCGGGCATAATATCAACAGAACCAGCCCCTCGGACTACCTCACAAACACTCGTAATAAGCTCCTCGGGCAAAACATGGATCAAGGACAGCCCTTCGGGCAACAATAAGAAACAACAACAGCCCATCGGGCTACATCATATCACTCACACTATGTACCCACGCTCACTGGGGGTGTACAGACTCCGAGAGGGGACCCTTACGGCCCAAGCGCAATAACAAGCCATCTCGTGGCATAATCAAACAGAATCTCGGCCTCATATAAAGCCACCTCGTGGTGTAACAAATCATAACCTCGGCCTCATAATCATGAATCAGTACAACACTGTTGCGGCGCGCAGCCCGATCCCACAGTATCCTCACAACACAGGCCCTCGGCCTCACTCAGTCAGAAATCTCTCAAGCCACTCGGGCAACAGTAAACCATGATGCTCAATCCAAAATATCATTTAAAATATCAAAACGGAATAAATATGGCTGAGTCATAAAAACAGTGGAATATAGCATAACTGAGTACAAATATAAAGTCAAAATAGTGTGGAATAGTAGTAAAAATCCCCTTAAAGGTTCAAAACAGTTAGCACAAAGCCCAAATATGGCATTCAGCCTAAAGCATGGTAATAATTTCCAAAATATAATGATATCAAACATGTTTTCAATCAAATACGCGACTTAAGAGTCATACGGGACGGACTAAGTCACAATCCCCAACGGTGCATGACCTCACGCTCGTCATCTAGCGTGTGCGTCGCCTCAAAGTAGCACAACGATGTGAAATTCCAGGTTTCATACCCTCATGACAAATATTTACAATCATTACTTACCTTAATCCAGTCCAAACTCTAGCCCGCAATGCCCTTGCCTCTCGACTCGGTCTACAAATGCTCCAAATCTAACCAAATACATATTTGTACCATCAAAATATGCTAAGGTAACAAAGTCCACTCAAAAATAACCAATTTACATCAAAAATCCAGAAATTGGCCAAACCCGACCCTTTGTCCCCGTCTCGAATTTTGATAAAAATTACAAAACTAGAATCCTTACACTGTCACAAATTCATACATATCAAATACATCAAAATTCGACCACAAATAACCCCTCAAATCCCTAGATTTAGGTCTCCAATTTCCAATCCCAAACTTCCCATTTGCTACTGATTTCCCATATAATTCAAGCTTACAAGCTTAAAAATCATCATAAAAACGAGTTTAGAGACCAAGGACCTTACCTCTAAGAAACCTTCTTGAATTCCCCCTTCAATTAGCTCTCCAAAGTTTTCTCCCGAATGAAATATAGTGAAAACCCACTCAAAATCGCAAAGGGTGAAATTTATATGTTCTAACCCAGCAAAACCGCATCTGCCGTCCAATTATCGCACCTGCGGTCTCAGGTGCGCATCTGCGGACCCGCACCTGCGATCATATACTCGCACCTGCGCCATCGCAAGTGTGCCCAAAGTTCCGCTTCTGCGGTTCCAGCCTTTCCTTCTCTTGGCCGCACCTGTGACTTCACTTCATCTTCTGCGGGCTCGCACCTGCGGTCCCCAAGCCGCAGATATGGTTATTACAGAAAACTTAGCAGCTTTGGATGATGCAAATTCACAACTCCAAACTTCCCGTCAACCATCAGAAATCACCCTGAAGCCCCCGGGACCTTAACCAAAAGCACGAACAAGTCATATACCACTAAACAAATTTACATCAATCTCCAAACACCTCAAACAACATTGAATCAACCAAATAACATCGGATTCAAGCCTAAGGTTCCAAAAATCTTTCAAATTCTGCTTTTGATCAAAAAGTCTATCAAACCACCTCCGAATGACCTAAAATTTTGTACACACGTCGCAAATTACACAACGGACCTACTCCAACTTCCGGAATTCTATTCCGACCCCTATATCAAAATCTCACCTATCAATCGGAAAACGCCAAAATTCTAATTTCGCCAATCCAAGCCTAAATCTACTCCGGACCTCCAAAACACATTCCGATCACGCTCATAAGTCCCAAATCATAAAAATTCTAATCCGAGATCATATGCTAACAAGTCAAAACTTGGTCAAACCTTTCAAAATTTTAAGCTTCAAAATTAGAATTGTTCTTCCAAATTCATTTTGATTACCTGAAAACCAAAACCGACGATTTACATGAGTCATAATACATCACACGGGGCTCGTCATACCTGAGAACTGTCGAGCGAAATGCAAAAGCTCAAAACGACCAGTTGGGTCGCTACATCCTCCCCCACTTAAACATATGTTCGTCCTCGAACGTGCCCAAAGTTGTTTCGAAAACCATCAAATCCCTGTGTAACCTTACCATGCACATACCCAAGGGTGATCCCACGTCACCCTATCTCACATAGGTTCGATAATACAATGTAACTGAAATTTCACAATTCAACCTAGCCCGTAGACCTTAGAACCACATTTCAACTTCTTAAATCAACCACAAGATCAGAATCTCATATCTATACTCTGAATAAGCCCGTACAAGCTGTAACAAGCCATACCTGCAACCGCAGATGT